GCCACCACTGTTAAGGACTCATAATCAGTAGACTTTCAGAAATATTAAGCCTTGACTTCTTTATTGAGAGCACTGATTTGCAGAAGCATTTTCATAATTTAGGTGTGCTAGATTGTCCTCTTCAAAACAGGTTTCTTCTTGAAATCAACATTAGCCATCTGAAATTAAACATTAATCTGTAAATATCTGCAACATGTTCCTATCAGACTGAAAACTGTCTTCCCTGGCTCCCCTGACCTCAGAGATTACTCAGCTCTTCCTTCTCTCAGCATTTTTCTGTCCATCCTTCAACCTGCTCTGATCAGCTTCTTCACAGCTCAACACTCCCTTAGCCAGTAACTGCACCATCAGTCTGACTTTCCGTGATAAAAGAGTTCTCCACAATAGGATCCATGCTACTGCAATTACACTGTAAAGGTACAACCTTTAGGGCAACTACCTCATGTTTCCAGATCTGTGATATCAGCATCTGAACTTTCCTTTCAACCCGAAGGCAAGTGGAGATCCGATAGTGCTACAGTAGATGTTTAGCAAACATGCACACAGCCACCCCAGAGAGAGGCAGTGAAAAAATTCTGTATTATACTCACTACATATTTGAGGCATCCCTGATATACTGCAGATAAAGAACATCCACAATCATAAAATATTGGTCTCAACTAAAACTGGGGAATATTTCAAGGTCAGCACCCTTTGCAAAGAGCAACACTGGTATGTTGTGAATGGAAAATAACCAAACACCAAACAAAATATGTGAGAGTGAAAAGCCTAACATCTGAAGCTGAAAATATCAAAATTATCTGAAGTAACAGCTGACAAACTAGTTGGAATGGGAAAAAAAAGTGATGAAGCAGATTTCAAACACAAGAGAAAGGTTAAAGGACAAATGAAAGAAGGACAAATGTTTCAGAGATCAGCAGCCTTTTGTTAAATAGTTATGGGAGGAAGGGGCTTCTAGTTTTGTTGCCATATGGAACTCTATTCCCAGTGTCTTATGCCTCAGTAAACTGAAAACTGCAATTTGCTAATGTCTGTGGTAAAGTTTGGCAAAACTCTTCAACCTCTAGAGAAGGATGGTAACTTTCCCTTCACTTGGCATGGGTCACACAGAGGTTTGAAAAAAAAGTTCCAGTTCAAAGCTAAACTTGGCCGAAAATGAGCATTTCTCCCTTTTCAGCCCTTTTGGGAGACAAACCTGCCATCCTAAGCACCAACTTACTTTCTGACTTTCAAAGCATATCACAAACTGAGATCTTGGCACAGAATGCTCTGAATTCAGATTAACTAACACACTTCTACAGCTTGATACATTAAGATGTTTGATTCATCTGCCATACTCATCAACTAGCAGATAAGAAATCAGAGTAAAATTATTAACTTCCTGGTTATTAAACTGAGCAGAATTTACCTTTAATTAAATTTAGAGCAATTTCTTAGTTCTCATAGTCAAAAAATCAAAGGCATAATTCTTTTCACTCAAATCTAAGGCAACTTTTAAACAGTACAAAAGAATCATCTGTTTTGCACAAAAGATATAGACACCAACTACCTTATATCCCAAGAAAGTTTCAGTGACACCTTAACTGTTTGCTCTGGTTCTTCTTTGTTTTAGCAGTTTGACTATTCAGCATCATTGCACTGTTGTCACAAAGTGAGCATAAGCTCCCTTAAAAAAAGGTTCATTACTTCCCAATCCAGATTATAAAATTTTATGATTTATGACAGGATTAAATATGGTTTTAAGTTATAAAAACCATTTAAAAATAGATAATTTAAATATTTTTTCTTTAAAAACTTTTAAAGTCATTCTAGACTTAAGAGGTAAATGATCTGGATTTTGGCAGGGATCTAGTATTCAAACATAGCAAAAAAATTAATTTACATCCATAATTCAGCTGTACATTACAGTTTGTATCTTTGACATGTCCATTTTTTTAACCAAGAAAACAGTAAACCCTATTCAAAATGAGCTAAAATCATCTGCTGGAGTTCAGATACCTGATGATAATTTCAAGAGACAAATAGAGATGGATGAAGTTGAAGTTAATATTCATTTAAGGAGTAATTTTTGGTGAATAAAGAAGGTAATGCTCTGATTTTAAAGACTTTACTACAGGTTTTACCACACTGCTTCAAATGAAACATTTTGTAGTGATTCTTCAAATGAAGACAAAAGGAAAACTTCAGGTACATTAAGCATGCCATGAAGCATACCCTATTTCACATACCATGAAAATGCCCCAGACAATGTACATTTTAAAATGGAATCCAGGTCAGTTTGATCACTGGAAGTGGAAAATATGACAAATATATAAGGATAAAGACATTTTGCATTACTACTTGGACTTCATTATTTTAGCTGAACACATTCTGTCTCAAGGTTTCAATCTCTGTATAACTAGAAAATATTATATGTGCATAGTACAATTTGAAGATAGTGAATTTGCCAATGCTTAAATTTAGCTAAAAATCTGAACAACCTGACAGTCAAAGCAGGTAAGCCAAAGTCTATTAACTCCAGAAAAAACATGTAATTCTGTCAGAAACTAGTATCCAGTTTTTTGGTATTGTGTAATAGCTCTCTTAGTGCATTGCACTTAAAAAGCCCTTAATGTGAGGCAGCATATTAAGCTCCGATTTTGTTGTCCAAAATTGGGATGTAAGAAAACACAGAAATTGTTCAAGGATGTGAAGGACCTGATTATACCTTTTATGAGAAATGCTTGAGGTTTTAAGAATCTGTCAGCACAACACTAGACAACACTGAATATTAGGCAGCAGTTCTTCCCACAGAAACATCCACCTACCCAAATGATGATTTTATTTTTGCCCCAGTGGCTCAAGCTGTCAGTCATAATTCTTAGCTTTGCAGAATGGCTTTCGTTTGTATGGCCAATATCTTATACAAGTCAGATACATTCCACTGTATTTTTTTAATACACAAAAATAATAAAAGGTCATATATAATGTCCCTAAATATAATGCAAAATAACAACACATGGAAGATCCCAAATAGGTCTATACAATAGAAATCAAAATCTTAATTCTAATAAGAAGTAAACAAATAATAGGAAAACGATTTTTGTTGGGATCAAAAGGGTTTTGGTTGCCTTCTTCTCCCTACCCCCTCCCCCCCCGTCTTCAGATTGGGGGCCAATTCAATGAAAAGAATAAGGGGTTTTTTGGGGAAAAAAAAGTTCATATGTTCATACTTCCTAATATTTTGTTCCAATGCTTTTGTTTGTTTTCCCTCAAAGTTTGTCTACATTACAAAATGTAACAGATACCACAGAACACTGCCAAACACGGACCACTGGACCTGTAAGAACCTGATGTTTGGATTCCACCACTGCACAAGAGTTAGAAGGCAGCTGCATTGTTCACTAAGGTTACAATGAACCTGACCAGAGCTACAGAAGTCAAAACAGGTATCAAAGCATCACTCAGGTGGATCCCTGCAAATAAACCCACTGAGTTTTAGGCTGGGAGTGCACCAGTGCTATGTCGGGCTCCTTGAGTGGGAGAAGAAGAAACAAGGTACTTTGCTCACTTTTAGAAATGTCATTGCATAGTCACAGCTCCTTAAGACATGAACAGCACAGTCTGAGAAACTAAAGAATAATCACGAATGCCTCAGTTCTTGCAGTGATTAACAGACTAATCCAGAAGCCACTGAAATTAGTAGGAAGACTGCACATGCATTAACTCAAGCCCAGATACCTTCCTAAGGTGTGAATTATGTTCATAACTGCTCACAGCAATTTATATGGATGTCAACTTCCCACATGCAGGGAAAACATTTACCATTTTGAAAAAAGTCCACAAATGAAATTTTAATCAGTTTGTCTCTCAGAAAGCAACCACACCAAATGCCTTCTGTGAGAAAAAAAACAACTGTGTCTGCATCATTGTTCATAAGAAATGGAAGTATGTAGCATTTACAAGCTATACATGACTGACTCCAGTGTCTTTGACTAATTAAACCAATGAAAATAGCAGCTTGATGTCTTTTAACACAGAAGGATTTGTGTATCATAAAAATCAATCTGAAACATACAAAACACTAAACTTGTTTAGAAATCTTCCTTGTCTGGTTCAGTTTAGAATGCCCACACATCTTCATCATTAGAGAGTCATGAATCAGATCAGGGTCAGCTTAGTGCTTCGAACAAAGCTATATCAGACCAAAAGCAGCAGTGAAAAGAAAAAAATTGAGATTAAACTCTAAAGCTGTTCTAGTTTCTCAGTTAAGACAGAATTCTTTTTTTTTTTAATATCTAAGAATAACGAGTATAAAGATCATTGCTAATACTTATGAAAATAAAATCTCTTACCTGTGAATTTGATATCAAAGATTTAGCTGGATGGCAAATTCTATACAGAGCAAAAGTCTCAGCGACAGGAACTCAGTCAGACTCAGAAAATTATGGGTCTGCACAGGAGGTTTTTTTCCCATTTCGCGAAAACTCTCTAAAATCACACACTCTCAATTATTTTTTGAGAAAATAAATTCAATAATTTTTGTTTACAAAAGGAAGCAAGAAATAAAAAATGCTGCCTAAGTTTACAAGGTACAAGGGATTAAACATGCATGAGTTCAAATCCTTCTTGCAAATCAGGTAAGTTAAAAACCTGAATGTCGATCATCCACGTACCATATCACTACACTATTTGCCAGTTTATTTTGGAGTCCTTCTCACCCTATCTTGGTCTCACTACTCCTGCTTGGCTTACTATTTTACAGCAACTATATTTTGGCCAAAATATTCCTCAGAAAAACTCTGGTGATATGAGTCCCAAATTAGTCTGCTTAATCAGAAAAAATAAAACAGGAAAATCATATGCTGTTAATAGGAAAGATGCAAAAATCTTGTTTTAACAGGCACTCGGTTTCACAATGTCAGTAGACTTTCTTTTTTGGGATGAGAGCTGGAAACATTTATTTCTGGAGCATATGCTCACAGCTCTGTTATACAAGACATAAAGAATGAGTGTGTTACCGTGAAACCACTGAGCAATCCTGTTGGTGTTCCTCTCAAATCCTGCACGTCGAGGGATCTGCTCTTCTCTGAACCAGCGGATGATGACATCTCGGGAGAAGGGGCGGGACGGACGCTCCCAGATGTTACTGCATTGAAAGAGAGAGAACTAGCAGTGCATGAAAATGAGAGACAATATAAATTTTAACCTTTTTTTTTTTTTTTCTACATACTTACAAAACACACAGCTTCAAAATGGCCAGTGTAACTTCTGTTCGGTATAACTCACTGAACAACTTTAACCTTTTTAAAATCTATTAAAAGTATTTTGGGCTTCTGTGGAAACACAATATTGTGGGGTTTACATTTGCAGTGGAAGTTTAGACATTTTTTTAAGCACTTAAGCTTAACTTAAACTGAAAACCAATTTATCACAAAAGATGCAATGGACATTTCAGTTAGTTTTTCCTTTCTACCTCATTTTTATTCCAAGATAAACACTGACGTGCGAATCTTATTTTTTAACTTAGAGTATACTCCTGTAATACATTGTGTCTCCAAATCACTAAGGACAAGAGAGGGAATCTTTTGTTTAAACCCTTATATTCCCTTTGCATTCTCTACTTGAAAGCCTCCCTTACTCTTTCTATGCATTACACTTCCTGTGCATTTTAGATAGTAGGAGGAAAATCAGGTAAAATATGTGGAAGATCCACCAACTACCACAAATAAGGTGTAAGGTATACCATATCAAATTCAAGCATGGTGGTATGCAGCTGAGTCCTCCTTTCAGTTTATCTTGCTGTTACTTAAATTAGTGTTTGGTTCTGTTGATATCAAATGACGAAGCCCACAGTGAACGTAATAGTTATTGCTGAATTACATGAATGCATGTGAGCAGATCTGACCAATATTCATTGTAAAATTTGAAGATACAACCATAAGCAAGGGGAAAAAGTGAGAATTCAGCTATAGACACACATTGAAAAAAGCAAAAAATAGACATCACATGTTTCTTATATCTCATTTTTCAATACATTATATAAAGAAACAAAAAATCCCTTGAATTACAGGGCTCTACAGTCCATTCTTGTTTCTTAACTCATTTCTTTCTAATTCAGTTAAGTTTTGAACAGCTTGTCACGTCCATAATTTTTCCTGCCCTAGGCTAAATCTCAAAATTACTGTGTCGGTCTCTGTACAGTTTCTGTGGTCCAGCTTGTTCAACAGGGGCAGGAAGAAAGAACTACAACCACAGAAGTAAAAATAAAAACCCCACAGGAGGCAAAAGGATAAAAGTGAACAGGCAGGCCAAAGAGTTTCATTAGGAGGAGAATACTCAGTAAAGTAAAAAAGTCAGTAGGAAAAAAAAATCAAATGGTTTTCTATATAGCTATATGGAAATAAGAGAGAGAGAGAGATCTCAAGTAAAAATAAAAGAATACTATTTTAAAAGAAATGGCAAGGCAAGGTAAAAAACTACAGGAGCAACACTTCATGTTGAAAAACTTAGAGATGTAACACTGAACCTACATTCTCTTGAGGAAAAAAACCCTTGTCTCATAGATAAATAATATTGAGTGAGTTGGATAATGACTGGAATACTTTTCAGCTTTTTTTCAGGTCCTTTTTGAAAAGGGTCATATCTAGAACCACCAAATTCTATAGTAAATAACTTAATGGTAGAGCTCAGAACTTCAGATCAAAGTTATGGACTGTCTTTTCTCAAAAATTGCCACTTTTACTGGTGTTTTTACTACTTCAGTTTGAAGGAGAGTTTAAGCAGTTTGGGAAAATAATGAGAGATTTCCTTTGACAAATTGATTTGGTGGTAACTTTAAAGATCCTACTCCCTCAGAGTGAAATTCTGATTCCTCCTCAAACTGGGAGTTTTGGTTGCTGTAATGGGAGAGTTTCTATGTCTCAAAACAGTAGAGTAAAGAATTTATCAAAGCAGAACATATTTCCAAACAATGGAATATCTGTGGTGATACACTGACTGGGAAGGAAAAAGAATGTAATAGGACTCTCTCCTTTCTGAGCTTGGATATTTGTTGTTTCTTTAGAATTTAATGTTGCCATCCTGTCAGTGCTCACATTGCCTTTATCACCACACAAAGCCAAATTAATGGTATAAGCAATAACCAGTAAAAGAGTAGAGTGATTAGTCAGCTTCCTAGCTGTCATCTACCATTTTGGATTCTTTTTCTCTTCTGCAATTTCTGGTGCTCCCTAAATAGTCTTATGAAAGATTAATAAATAACAAAGACAATGCATTTGACCAGAAAACAAACAAACAAAAAAAAAAAAACCCCACCAAACTAAAACCTCCTGAAACTTTGGACAGTTCTGTGTAAAACAGAGCTATTAAGCAGCAGGCAATTTTAGGCTTGAGGCTTAAGACTTGCCTAAGAATTTGTCCATTGGACTTCTCTGTGCCACAACCTTACATACTGATCTAATACTGACGTTTCAAGGACTCATCTCTCTGCGTGGATTCTAAGAAATCTGTCTGAAAAACAAATGGCATTTAGTTCACATTAAACCTGAGTTTGTTTGTCTTTAAACATTCTTTTTCTGGTCATAGTGAAACAGCAAGACTGAGAATTCCCAGCGACTGAAGATGTTGAGGTGGTGGGAACTGGAGAGGGAGCCATTCAACAGAAAACTGCTTCAAAGTCACTCCTGTACAAACCAACCTGGACGCTGCAGAGAGAGACAGCAAAGGACTTGCACTATTGTTGTTCAGTTTTATCTCCTGGTCCTTGTTCAGGCTCGTCCCCTGGAACAAGTTACTCAGGCCAGCCACTCTTCCCTTCTGGATGGCGCGCAGGGATTGCCGTCGATATTCATCCCGCGCCCTGCGCGCTTTATGGCTTCTCTCCTCGTCTGCGGCCTTGGAGCGGCGCACTGGGTGGGATGAACGGGAAGGTTGGGGAGGAGAGACTTTAGAAATACAAACAGTCGTTTACTCCTTTCCTTACAGTACAACTTACTACCTTTATTCCTGTGTGACCTCATTTTAAGGATGTATAAATTACAACGCATTACCAAAGGCTGGATGACATTCCTCGTGCTTCAAATGCAGCTCCACCACTAAAAGAAGCCTGCTAGACTCAAGATATCAATGATTTGATCACTACTGGCAATAACTGAGCCTCTAACATACTGTGATTACATCTGACCTTGTTTTGGCTGTAATAAGAGAAATTCTGCTTCAGGACATCTTTTCCACTGGCAGTGCATCAAGTTCTATGTTTCAAGAAAGGATTTTAATTGCTGCTTAAAGTTAAGTTTAACAGAATTCTTTGCCTCTATGAACATAACTAGAATTGAAGGAGCTACTCCCAAAAACTACAATTCTTAAAACTAACATGTAGTTTGCATTTTTTGTCAGTGTTGTTTTCTTTCTGAAAAGCATATGCTATCTTTGTCACAGTACTTGTAGTCACAGAAGTTCCAACATGAAAATTTCAGTCTAAAAATGGTTTCAGTAACAATGGATAAATCAGTAACCACTGGAAAGGGCATGCTGATGCTATGGACAGGGTTGTCTCACAATTGAGTCTCTAAAATTGTATATAAAGAACCAGAATCTCTACTGGAAGATTTATTACACACTTAACAATGGCATTGACCAGGGAGTTACCAATTTCTGTAACCTGAAATGAGACTGCTGCTCTGGCCACTGCAGGTCAGGCATCTTTTACTAAAGTTTCTTCATTTTAAAACTAATGTACTAACAATCCTGTCTTTGAAATGGTATAACTTAAATGCATCAAGAATTGTACTGCAAATATTCATCATGTATCAGCATTTTTCTGGTGCCTCAAGCCCCATTTAGATGATTTTTTGAGTCACAAATAACTGCAGGTAGGCAAATTTTTCCAGTGCAAAACAAACCCTTAACATCCAGTGAAGCAAATATTAAAGAAGCTAGCTTTTGCCTCCAGTAGCAGTTAGCAATCCTGCCACGACTATCCTGGCTTAGATCATACCCAGTTCATAAAGTGCACACACTATTTCTTACTCCACTGTGACTGTACCTGTGACTAGGAATGCATGACACAACACCACACAGTTGCATTTCATTAGGTTGTTTGCATCCCTCTGATTTACAAATTGATTTGTTCAAATTATGAGAAAGTTTAATGGAATCAAGCAATAAAAACACTCAAAGCCAAATGAAATTAAATAAAACATTGTGGGCAAATGAGGGAAAGAGAAATGACCTTTAAGCTTAGATTTATATAATATCATAAGTAGAAAGATATACAGAATTGAAAGCTCATCAAGATAGCATAGTAAATGAGTCATAGATGCTTCATACGTATGAAACTGTCAGGATTTCAGTTTCACTTTACATACCCTGTAGTTTTAGATAAACAAAGTAACAAACAAATGTACAGCACAGAAAACATGAGTAATAGACTTCACTATTTATCTCACAGGTCATTATTTTTAAGGGTAGATAATGTCACTTAAATATGCCATTTCAATGACTCAAGTATATTAGTTACAACATTTTTTTGATTTATCCTTTTTAAAGCCACTCAGTAATGGTCACTTTAAACATGAACTTTGTATTTGCAGCACAAGGAGAGACTGCAAGGAAGATGAGTGCAATGCAACTTGGCAAGACATTTAGAAACCGGTTATTGCCACAATCACAATACACAGAATGAGGGCAGACTGCCTGGAGATTTCTGGGATTCTTTTCTACTGTTGTACAGGCTGCCTGGCAATGAAAAAAGCAAGTTACCTTCATGCCCCACTTTCCTCAGCAATAAACACTCCTTTCAACAAACATTCCTGCTCAGTTTTTGCTCGTTAATAAATCTGTACCATCAGAAGCTGGTGACCAGGCTACATTTTCCCAAACTGTAGAGCTTCTTATCACAAAAATATGGGGAGAGGTAGCATAGTTTGCAACTGTTAAATATCAACATTTCAACTTTCAGAAAACCTTTTGAATGTATGCATTTGCATTTATCAACATACCCATACACGTGCATATGTGTTTGTGTATATGTGTCTGTATATATGTCAGGATAGGGAAGGTTGTATGTAGATTTTTAGATTTATATCTATATATGTATATAGTCATGTCTTTCACATTAAGAAGAGTTTTTGTTGAAATTTCCCCAGTGAGGTACTGAAGAATTCTATCATTGACCATCGGGATGCACAGGGTCTCTCAATCCATTTTTTTTCTCATTATTGGAGTCCTGACTTTCTCCCTCTCCCATTCCTTACAGTTATTCCCCAAAACATCCCTCTCTTTCCCCTATCTTTCGAAGTTGTTCAGTACAGTTTCTACTGTGGACCTGCTTTTCTATGTTATCCCAAGTTACTTCTAAAAGTCTGACTTGTCAAAGGACTTTGCAGGTAAATAATCGAAGTCACTGGCACAAATAACTGGTTTTGGTGACTGGAAATAGTATCGTGGATAAAGCCATTGCAGTCAGGAACCTACAAAAAGGTTTGTCACTACATTCCAGACAAAGCAATGTGTGCCACATGAACCATCCTCCCATACTGACACTTCCCACAAATTAATCTATCTTGAGAATGTCACTCAAAGTCTGAAGGTAAATCAGGATCTATTTCTGTAGCAGATTTTTCTTACAATAGAATTTTTTGAATATTCATATTTCTCTCTTTGGCTCTGAATCATCTCACTAGGAATAAGAACTTTATGTCTGGATCAAGTCTAGCACAAATATTTTAAGACAGAAAAAGACAAAAATCTGCATTACTTGTATTTTCAGAGACATCATAGCCTTTCTCACAATAAGAAAGCAAAAGTAGTCAGGACTTCTAGGAATCCCTTAAATAAGTAGAGGTTATTGTTCTTGACCAGCTGTCCTTTTACAGTAAATGTATTTCCGGCATGACCCCTGTGCAAAACACTAAATTCAATAGTCACTATTTTCACTAGGGAGATTAGATATGTGAAAAAAATCTTACACTCTCTGAATCATCACCACAGGTCCATATATCTAGCATTAAGAATTACATCAATAATAATTTACTTATACCTAATCTTCTTTTTATATTACAGAATAATGTAAGGACTGACAAAGGGAAACGAGGAATTTGTTAAGCTCACAGGAAATCTACAGTCCAGCCAGGCCCTGTAAGACCAGCTCCAATGACAGTGTTCTCTTCCAGTGCTGGTGATACCAATAACAACAGGTAACTTTTCCTTCAGCACTTGCAAAATGAAGCACACTTCTGCCTGATGGAACTGTAGCTTCTGTAGAAGTTCCTGAGCTGCTCATGTGGGTTAGGTGTCGATATGACTGTAGCCTCAGTAGAGCAGGCCAAAAATGGGTTACCAAACCCTCCTGGAAAGCTAACAGATATATCCAAGACAGTTATTATTACTGGAAATGAATAGTTTAAAGCCAGCTTGGACACGTCTATATGATCTGCAGTGTGAATATACTCTCAACAACAGAGAACAAACCACAAATGGTGTGTGCAACAGCTCTTACAATCCTAGAGGTGTCGATTGCCTCATTTTCCCTGAAGAGTTTGTGGAAATCCATTATTCCTCTATGCTAATCTAAGCTGTCTTTTGAGAGAAAACTCAAGTTTGCCTTCTAAATTTTCACTTTGGATTGGTAAATCCCTATTAGCAGCCCTGGTAAAGTTCTAATACCAAATCTTTGATAAAGATGAGGATTAATTCATGGTGCACTGCAGCTAAACTTGATCACATAATTTGTGAAAGACTAGGAACTCTCTATTTTCTGTAATCTATTTTGTGCTTTTGAAGAGCTATGAGTTACAGTCAGAGACATGTGAAAGCTGAAAACAACATGTGCTATGATTATACATCCTAATTTTTAAATTATTTTGTTTTGGCTTTACACCCTTGTTAACAATTCTTGGAAGCTTGTTTATGAGCAATTCAAAATGACTACTTAATAGATAAAATCCAATCTTCAGATTTTCTGAGTGCACAGACAAATCACACAGTGTTTTTTTGCCTTTCCTAATTGGAAAATAACTTCCCACAAATACTCTGCAATATGGTTCCAGTTCAGCAATCTTTTATCTGAAAGCATTTGAATAACCCCATTCCTATTCAACAACGCACTCTGAGACCTATTGAAGTTCAGAGGGTACATACTTTATGTTAAGCACTTGCTTAGCTAATGTATAGCTAAACTGGGGACTACTCACTTCAAAATTCAGCATTTTGTCAAATGCTCCTGCCAGTAAACTCACTCACTTAAATTTCTGTGGAAGATAAAGACCAAATGAATTCCTTTAAAAGCCAGACAAAAAATAAATTCATAGACACATTTGTAGAAGAACATAAAAATATAAAAATATAAAAATATAAAAGAAGCTATAATGAGTCAGCCTGGTATTCTACTTCCAACAGAGACCAAAAGTGGGTGCTTGGGGAAAGTCATAAGAATACATCAACTCACTCATCTATGTTTACATTTTTACTGGAATAATTTTTGTCTGCAGATGAGTAAAGCTGGTCAGATGGTATCTGAGCACTTCACTGCTTGGTGCAGTTTGCAGGGGTTTGTAACTGTACTAACAGAATGCTTTTTGCAACATCCAATCGGATGAATATTCATGCTACAGCTTTTTTCTATTATGTTTTGCAATTCCTTTTCTGCTTTCACAGAGAGAGGTCACATTTAAACACCCCAGAAACCTAAAAAATGGAACAGCCCACAGAAAGGTCCAAAACTAATAAGAATATGCACCCTCCTCTATCAAAGCTTAGCCTTAGTTCTCACTTCTCAGTCTCAAAGAATAAGAGCTTTGAACAGTGGACAGTCTGAATCAGTCTTTTTCATTATTCTCATTTGCCAGCCAATATACTTGTTCCACTTATTAACTCACAACTGCCCTCTAAAATAACCCAATATATGTCTATTATATGAAATCAAAGTGTATGATTGCTCTTGCAACATCATATTTCCCCTTTAGTACTGATTTCTTAAGTTATTCTACATTTTTCAGTTACCCTACTAAAAAGCACTAAAATTATGTATTTCAATTAACACAGCAGTTCTATGGGCCTTTATTGTTATCTGGCAAACAGCAGAAGCAAACTGAACCAAACAACAGAAACTAATATTAGCAACACTTTGCTTATTGCCTTGGCAATAAACAGCTGAGGGATAATGTGATGAGGAGAGATGAATCCTCATCACATTCTAAATTCCATCTACTAAATAAGTTAGTGGTGTCATCAATATCATTGCTGCATTTGCTCTTCACAATAGCTGCTCAAGCACTACCGCTCCTCTGCAGTACTGACTCCCAGCACTGTTGAATACAAAGGGCTGACTTCAAGGAGGTAAGATCCAAAGGAGCCTGGCCCTGTTCCTAATGAGCAATATGGTTTCCACTGCAAGAAGGTAGAGGCAGAAGATGTAAATATTACATCTGCTTGTAATTCTCTTATGCATTCATGCATTTATTTATTGCTTAAAAGGATGACTGTTGGATAGCTTTGCCTAACTTCAATAAGTTGTTTCTTGGTGTTCCATAGGTACTTCTGGACAAAATGGAAGAATTACCACAAAAAGAAAAAAAACCCCACCCTCTGGAACTCAAATAAAAACTGAGAAATCTGGTGAACCTGAGGTACTAATTAATTCCATAGCAATTTCCAATGCTTCCATTTCCAGATATTTGCTACTGCCTGTCTGCTGGACATTTTAAACCAGCCAGGAACTGGTGTGAGATAAGGCACTAAACACTGCATCTTCATATCTTCAGTTGTCACACCAATTTGCTAATGGAGAACAGTTCTAAGCCCTCAAACCAACTGGGACAAATTGAGACACTGAGATAAGCATAAGAGGATAAACAAGGATGTGATACACTCTAGTCATTAGTCTGCAGTTAGTTTAATGCTAAATCAATTACTGATAACAGCATAAACTCTGGCAGCACAGCATTTATGGCAGGCTGCAAAGCTCAGCTGTGGTGCCACCACAGAAGGTGCTGAGCTGTTGCTCCCCACGGCAGCACTACTATTGTTGACCAGGCTCCACAGCTTGAAATCATGGGAGATGCCCTTGGTCACCTTTAGGACGAGCAGACAGGTCTGCAGGTATCAAGGCACACAGGCTGAAGGTGATACAATTCCTTCAGAGCACACAGAATGTCTCAAAGCTTACACATAAAAGGAGCACTGGTGCCAGGCTATACCCACCAGGTGGTGCAGTCACAAGTGTTTTGACAGATCAAAAATGCCAAAATCTTACATAGCTTATTCCTTTTTCTCTCTGTCTCCTCCCATAATTCCTCTATTGCATTACTGATGTCTGTCCCTATACAAAGAACATTCCTTGAGAAAACGGAAGCAACAGTTTAAATCCTCAGTTACCTCTTTAATGCAATAGTAAGGAAAGATACCTGGTTTCAGTAGTCTTTACACTATTTTGTTTTATTGCAAATTTCAATATAAAGATAAACTGGACTTACATTTTTTTTTAACAACATGGTTGCAAATGTGGGGTTTTTTTCCTTATGTACCATCAAAGAAATGTCAAAGTACATAGCACTACTCTCTATGCTGGGTTGCCGGGTGATGCTAATTTCCCACAAAACTAAAGGGCTACTTTTCCCCCAACTCATTCTGCTCTTAAATACCTAAAACACAGAAAGTTACAGTTTTTCTTTCCATATAAATATATACACCCAGATTTAGATAATTCTTTGGGAAATAATTATCTTCTCTTTATTGACAGCGTAATATACAGAGTTTTATTGATCCCAAAAAAAGCATAGCCTGTTATGAGCTTGGAAAATGGCACCACTGTATCTTATATAGATTTAATTCATGTTGTGCAGAATGATTCACTATCAGATCAATTCCAGGTAATAGCACTTCAATAATTAGTCCTTAGGAACTAATGAAGTGATGAATAAAACCATAAAATAAACTCATTGTATATTTGGAAATTTCTTTTTTACCCCTGTCAGGAAATAAGTAACACTACAGCAATATTTTTTTTCTACTCCATGAGGTATTTCTTGCACAACATATCAGCTCCCTAAAACTCCATTTTTATTATTAGTTGATTAACTTTTGTGCTACATATAATTACTACAATAAACCCACAGGAGCTAATATTTTCCAGTCATTACACTTCCTTTTTCTGCAGAGTAATCAAATCAGTATAGATGTGAGAAATGGAAAATATTCTCCCCCCCAAAAAAAATGTACAATTCTTCTTGCAAACAAATTTCCTACTTCCAAAGTCAACTGTACAATAGACAGATAGACAGACACTTCATTAAATATTTAAGCTATTAAATATAATTTTTTCATTATGTGGACCTTTACTTATTTACAGTATGAATGTATTCGTATAGAGTAATATAGTTGTTCTGCTCCTTGTAAGGTTTTAAAAATCACTAAAAAATTATAATGGACATAATTGTGATTAATTTAAAGAATTTCAGGATGTCTAAAAAGGAACAGTACCTCCATAAAGTGAGATCACCATCATCATAAGAATTATTTTTTTTTTTTAGATCAACAATCTAAGTATTATTTGCTGTAACCTTTTGGAACGAAGTGAGTTTCAGTACTGATATCATAGCTTCATCTAGTTACCATGTGGAAGCAATTAAAATATAGATTAAGACAGATTTTACCTCTTCAGAAATAGCTACAGACAAGCTGTCAAAATAACTGTGTCCTGAATTATTATTACTAAGCCAAAACTGTTAATTAAGTACTTTGGAAAAAAATTAATGATCTCAGTTATCGTACAAGAAAAATTTTCTGTAAGGCATTGAAATCGGTTCAAAAAGAAATATGAAACTTCTGTTTATAAGGTTAAGCTGGTAATTTCTGCCAAAATAATACAGCTTTTTGTATTGCTCTAGGTAGAAGAGATTTTTGGCAACACCTTATCCATCCTACAAGTCTCCTTTTGTTTGCTTTCAGAAACACATTAATCCCGTGAAGGTAATTTACTCACACTGTTCTTCCCACTCCTGGTCATCGTCGCTGTGCTGACTATGCTGCTGAGCTTGCTTGAGACTCAGATACAACTCCTTTGCTCGGATTTCTTCCTGCTTCCTGATTTGTTCTTCACCCTTTTGTCTTTCCTCTTCTTCTCTTTTCTAGGCAAAATGAAGTAAGCCACAAGTGACTAAAGAGGAAGAATGTGCCAAAAGCTGGGACACTGCTTCAGTTGCTTCCTGTGACAGAGGAGCTACATTACCCTTGGACAAATCCCTGTTCCTTCTAACTTTGGCTTTCTCACCTATCACAACAGGCATAATTGGAATTCCCTACACCTTCGAAACCTCTGAGGAGGGTATGTTTTGAGATGCACAGCTATCATAGGAGTGAGGAACATGTAAGTATCTAAAATCTGAAAAGTATATGGAAAATATTTTATCATGTGACTCCAAAGGCTGTATTATCCTACAGTCCATAAGCAGAGCTTGTTTTAAGTCCACATGTAACTCCCATTGAAGATACTGCTGTATTCAAGCACTGCACACATCATCTCCAGAACCTGTAGAATTCAGTAACTGTTGCATTAGAACCAGCAATAGTTGAGCACAGAAAAAACAAAACCAAAAAGAAAATAAAACCCCATGATTACTTTAAACTGGAAAAGAAATTTCCAAATCCACCAAGATGTTCCACCAATCAGCTGAGCTGATATATTTGAACAAATGTTTCTTAGCTAAAGACTTTGTACTGGTAATTTTTTTTTTTCTTAAGACATGGTATGATGCAAATTCTGAAAATTATGATCAAATGGGATTCTTCCTGCTTTCAAAGGGAAATTAGACATGTTTACCTTCCATTGTATAATATTAGTACACTGTGAATCTTGTGAGTGGGCATATTTCTAAGTTTGAAAACAAACTTTCATCACAGCAGGACCCACAGCATGACCAAAACAATCCATGATCTATTTTAAGTACTACAAATATGAGTCGAGAGATTTAAAAACTGAGGCCAAAATCTGACTTCTCTAAACTTAGTCTGTGGGTTAAAGAGATGCAAAATGGAGTTTTCATGATGTTGTTCATAATCCTGCAAAAAGTAACTTGCATTTTTCTTTTTCCATGTACGATCTTCTGTTCAGTCTTTGAAGATGCTACTTATCTGAAAGGTCACACTATATATAAACTTTTGGTATAATTCTACATCATTTTAGGATGAAAGGGCTGAACTATCCAAAAGCTATATCAATTCTGTAAAAGTATGTATTAATTAACACTTCCCTACAGCAAATATCTTTTATTTGATAATACATTGAAAAAATCCTCATTCTAAGGTTGTCTGTCCCATCTTAACAACTGCTAGGGTAGAAACAACAAAGGCAACCCAAATATAGTACTATGAATGTTCAAACAATGTTGTTTGGACAGGCTGAGGAAGTTGGGGCTGCTCAGCTGGAGAAGAGAAGGTTGCATGGAGACCTCACAGCAAATTTCCAGTGCCTGAAGGGGGGCTACAGGGAAACTGGAGAGGGACTCTTGCTTAGGAACTGTAGTGATAGGACAAGGAGTCATGGTACAAACTGAAAGAGGGGAAATTTAGGCTGGATATTAGTTAGAAATTCTTTACTATGAGGGTGGTTAGATACTGGAACAGGTTGCCCAGGGAACTTATGGATGCTCCATCTCTTGCAGTGTTCAAGGCCAGGCTGGACAAGGCTTTGAGCAACCTGGTCTAGTGGAAGTTGTCCCTGCTCATGGCAGGGGTGGTTGGGAATAGATGACCTTTAAAGTCTCTTCCAATCCTTAACATTCTATGATTCTATGAACAATACATTAGGTTGCTCTTATTTCTGAGATAGAAAATCCTAGTATTGTTCTTCCGTCGAATTTAATGTTGATATCTTTGATTATTTCTAACATCGTCCTCCCACGGTTATCTCCAGAGTCCTAAAAGCATGAATTGAATGGACAGGTCATTATTTTTGAAAAGTCAATTATTTTAAATAACACTGATTTCAAACCCAGCAGCTTCCTTAGGAAAAAAAAAAAAAAAGAATCTTTTCTAATATCCCTATAGAATTAGTGATTCCATATTTCAGTTGCTAATAAATAGTTCTGTTCCCTTCTTGGAAAAAGTATGATTTCAGTTATTCTTTATTCTTATGAGGAAAATATTTATTTACTTAGCTTCACTACCTAAAACAATTCAATACATCTAGGCTATCTTTGCAGGAAGATGGACAGACACAAGGGTAATCCTGGGTTATATAATGTTTTATATTCAACCTCTCAAACCATGGAGTAAAATTTAATATAGAGGAAGGAGAAAAAAAGAAAAATCAATCTCACAGCAGTTTCCCTGAATCACACAGAGTTTTTCTCACAAGTTGGTGTTTGGTTTTTAATATAGCTGTAATTGAAGCATTTCTAGTAAAAAGATGAAGTGTATAAGAAAAACAAACAAACAAAATACACAATCTAAAAAAATGAAAAAACCACCACGAAAAACTAGAAGTCAGGTAGAGTTTGAACTGTTAATGGAAAGCAGAATGCCTACTAAGAAAATCCTACCCCCACTCTTTTTTTTGTGTGTGCTGAAAAGAGGAAGGTTTAAGTCAAAGAAGAGACAACAACAAAAACTTAACACTGGCACTTGATTCTGAATTCACCAGAACTTTATCATACAATTTTCCTTTCTAAAGAAAGACAAGTTTTGATTTCTATTTTTTTAATTAGTGCATGGATGCATGTACAAGCACATTGTACAACTCCTTAAAAGTGTGAGAAGAAACAACCCTTGCTAGTGTGACACAGGAAAGAACAGTGATCCTTTTGTCAAATAGGATTAAACAGTGTATGTATTTACAATGAACAACAACTGGACTTCTCACATTTGCTCCACTGGAAGAATACAGCAACCAGTTTATTTGCTTCTCCCCATGAACTCAATCCTGCACACCAGAGCTGAGAGTGAAGAGCTGTAATAACCTACAAACATCACCTTCTGTCCAACAGTTAAGAGAGATTGTACTCTGTGCCGTGTCCCTTTCAGCTCTTTCAGAATAATTAGGAAGCTGGCAATTCAGTACAGTGGCTAAATTGCTAAGAAATACCAACCTGAAGAAACAAATCACACTGACAATTCAACAGGCAGCAGTAATCCTCTCAGGTATTAACTCCACTGGAGAATTTGAACATGTTAAAGGTCTTATCTATCCTCTGGCAGTTGAGAATTTACCACAAACTTATAACTGTCTATGTGTGATTACTATGGACAGCTCTAAATAATATTTAATATTAGCCATGGTTAGGTTCTAATGTTTCAGTCCAAGGCAGATGAGAGGAGATTAGGTCAGCATTTAGTTTTTGCTGCAGAAAGATTTAAAATATACACTGAGGAAAAGCCAAAACAAAGCAGTGGATTTCTTTACAATGGAAAACTGGGCTCCTGGCTGCCACGGGTCCTGGGGTCTCTCTGGGGAGTCTCACAGGGTGCAGGGCAGCAGAATGACCAGTATTATGCTCAAGGCAAAACTCATAAGGTGTCTTCATTGCAACAAAAAGGATGCCTGGGATTCCCTCAATGCTTCAGGCTGGCAAAAAGTATCTTTGGCAGCCCTGAAAGTTACAGCTGCAGTGAATCTCCTGAGCCCACTCAGCAATCACCTCTGCCCTAGGGAAGACATGCAGGCTACCTGCCACAGAGCTGAGAGCCCTTAGGACTCCCTCCTCTGAAGATAATCTGGGAATCCCAGAGTGCCCAGCTGTAGGACAGCCCACTCTCAGCAAGGCCGACACAGCTGGCTGAGTTCAGAGATCAGATTTCCCTGTAAACACACCTGATAGTTTTCAACAGAGCTGTGAGTAATGGCAGAAATATGTCCAACTCCTTCCTAGCCTCTTTCTGAGAAAATTGTCTCACTTGCACCAGAAAAGAAAGTGTTTGCAGAGGTATTATTTTCTTCTCTGCTACCAATGTCTCAGAAAGGAACACAGGCTTTGCAACACTTCACTGTGCATGTATTTGCATAAAAGCAAATGTACTAAATGCAGTCGTGATTTATGCAGAAGAAGCTATGTTTCAGCCATGGATATGTCCCAGGACATGCATGTCTCATACAGGGAAGTAACAACATACTCTGGTTCACAAAGACCCTTTTTTTGGTGAGCTAGAAAACAAAGATAAGGGCTGTTCCTAGCTGGGAGAGATCTGACATCTACTACACACACTGGAGCAAACTCTGCTTGAGTAACTTGCTATAATTCCAGTGAACATCTACTGAAAGTTTATTTCTGGATCTTAGGGACTCCTCACAGCTTGAGTTCCCAATGTGCAAACTATCCTCCTTAGTGGCTCAGATTTTTCCCATTCACCCATGGAAAATACCAAAGCTCTGCTAGTTTTTACTAGCAATCCAGAATAAAGACAGTGGCTTCAGCAGCGCAGTCATTACAGATGTCACAGGGAAGAGATTTTTCTTTAAAATTAATATCATAGTTTCTCACAAGTAGGATAGAAAAACCTGAAGACCCAATTCCCATCTGTAACTAACAGCTGCCTCATTTCCAACATTGTTCAAGAGATAACTGCATATTAAAATTAGGATTTCTGAACTGCGGTCTCATAAAAGAAAACAAAATTAGGTATTACTCAATTATTGTAATTGCCATTAAAATTACCCAACTAAGGCATTTTCAGAATGAACTGGGTGCCAAATCCCAGCAAGAAGCTGTTGTCACATTCCTAGATTCTAAATATGCTGTCTTTGGGAAAGAGTTCAATGTTTTCTTGGCACAGCAAAGCACAGAGCTGAACTCACAGCTTATTTGCTCTTAAAGATAACAGTCCCACTCAAGCACTTCACTTTTATTGGAGACAGATTTTTTTCAGTTTAGGACAGAATGCTCACTGCTACATCAGAAAGAGTCCACAGTACTGCAAGTGGTGGTGACATTTCACTGTATCCATAAATTCTACACCTGGTAATTGTCTGAAGAATCAGGTCCACAGCACTTTGGGGCACAGTAAAGCACTCAGACATGTTGAAAGCTCATCCAAGTCAATAGGACTGAAGTGTGTTCTTTTTATTAAGCATAAGTTTAATTAGAAATTTCCTGAAGTGAAGCACTAATTATTCTGTTCTTCTCTAAAGGTTGATTCTCAACCTGTCTTCTTTGAAGAGACATATTTCGTCTCCCAAGGAATTTTTAAGAAGCAATCTAGCTCTGCTGTCAACTATGCTTATATTATTAAATTTGGCAGGTATCTGATGTTGTCATAAGGACAGTACTTTACAATTAATATTCTCTTGCTTTATGCAGACCACATGAAGAGTGAGCTGAGAAACCATCTCTCTTTTAATTCTAAATGTAGCTGAAGGATACCACTCGTCCCTGGCTGGCTGACACTCACACTTTTAATTTTCCTTAGCTCTGCACATTGTTCAAGACTCTTAATGACAGCTACTGATAACAGCAGAAAATCATGCCTATGATCTCATAGCCTTTGTGAATTAGCAAAAAGATTAATGATAGTAATTGGCTTTCTTATTTGTCCTTTGCAATAAGTGCATAAAAGAATAGCTGTCCTTAAACTGCAAAAATAGAGAAGTCAACATTTATATTCTAGCATCATAAATTAAAGGCATTTCTGCTTAAGAAACACCAAGGAAAGCAATAATTTTCTAATAGTGTTGGAAAAGGAAATAGGGATCATCATTCACTTTGATATGTGAGATAGCATTTATCTAGTGCAGACAGCCCTAACGTCCCATGATAGGTCAAGAGGAATAAAAGCATTTTAAAAAGGAGTGTTTGTGATACAATATGGTTAGAAATTAAACAGTCAGCAGAAAGGACAGAGTTTCAATTTCCCAACTCAAAATGCCTCAACAGGATGAAGCATTAGCAGAGACTGAACTTTTCATACCCCAATATGGAGACCTCTTTAAACATGATCAGGTCATCATCACAGAAGGATGATTACCAAGATGTTAAATATTTTAAACCTGTTAAAGTGGGCTTGCTAACTGATTTGTATCTCATTCTGCAGCCATTTCTTCATTATTTCAATTACTTAAGTCATACATGAGTAGATTCATTAATTCATCTTTTTCCCAGAACCCTAGTTCTATTCCATTTCTGTAGCTGGATGTGGATGCCAGAAACATAACTTTCTTTTCTTGTCTGGTACCTATCCACTCATTCAGCCTGTAAATATTTCATGTAGCTCTTCCACTGCACGAGAGTAGTTATAAAAAGAGTAAAATGGGAAGGAGAAGGAAAGCCAAGTGAGATAAAATGAGCCAGTGGACGGAAAAGTTAACAAGCCCCCCACGTGAGCCTGTGAGATTCACCTGTCTTTGAAATGCCTTTACTATCCTGAAGTAGTTCTACAGCACAATGTCCAAGATCTGCTCTTTAAAGACCAAGTAAGAGATAAGTTGCTTTTCGGAGTAGCAAAAGAGTAGTGTTAAAGTACAAGGAATCAATCCTGCATTTGAATCTCTGCTGCTGAAATCCCATGTCAGTCCAAGTCTCTCCTAACAGATCTCAAATTATAGACCTAATTGAAGATCAGGGATGAAAGTGGAATTAGCCTATGTTGTTGTATTAATAAAGGAAATGCCAGGAACATGCTCAATAAAGCAGCATTTAAAAAAGCAACCACTGCATCAAATCTTGTTTCCAAACTAATTTTTTAAGCCACAGAGTTCATTTCTGCTGAGTCTTGTTTTAAAAATTTTGGTCTGCTTACTTAAATTTTTTGCAAATAATATCTACAAATGCTGAATTTAAGTGAAACCAGAGGGGAAGAAAAGGTTTCTGTTTCTTTGATCAGATAAATATATTGGCAACTTTATGAACAGACCTAAAGAAATGCTGTCCAATGTTTAGTGTTTGAAATTCAAAGTAGAAACTGAACCATATTCTCAATCCAGTCACAGCAGTACTCCTTGCTCCTACCAGGCACATAGCTGGATGGAGGACACCTGCTCATGTCCTGAGAAACAGTGGGAACACAGAACACTGACATTACCTTTCCATTCATATGAAAATGAGTAGATTTTGGTACCATTACTGTTAATTGTATCAACGACTGAACAACGAGTTTCCCTTAATAGAAAAAAAAAGTATGAATACTGACCACTAAAAGTCTCAGAAGTTTCTCACTCTGCTTTTTAAAAAAGTCTCTTTGAAACAGAATAGTACCAGTGAGCTTGTGGACATTTACCCCACCGAGTGCCCCGTAAATCAACAACAGATATATAAGTGAACACTGTATCAGTCTTTGTTCAAGAGGGCTTTGCTTTCCAGAGAGAAAAGGAAAGAGTGTTTAATTAGTTTCTCTGCTCATTATCCATATATTAATAAAGCACTTGAAAGGTATAGTTCCATTACTCATTGACATCGAATTTCAAAGGCCTCGTTCCCTCCTGCAAATTCAAATTAATTGTGCAAAGGTAAATCAGCAACTCTGTGCAGAGGAGGCTGCAGGAATGGCCCTGGCTTTGTGCTCCACAGCCACCCTCAGATCCCAGGCCCACAGTTTACAGTGACAAGTACCTTGTTGACTCTAGTTTGTAATCAAACCACATAAATTTAACACTGAGTTTTTCAGCATTCCTCCCATCCCAGAGGGGCAAGGGGGAAGTCTATCCACCCCTTCCACACCTTTAATCACTGTGTCAGGAAAGGAGAGATACAGCAGGCTGTCAGCAGGGGAGAGGCATATAGATGGAAGTTACTGGATGCAGATCTCCTAGGAGACATATTTAGCTACAGACTTTCTCCATGGAAACCCAGCCTCACCAATCGTGTGCAGTCCCAGCCTGCACATCCCCAACTCAGAGGACTGTGATAATTTCTCTGCACGCTGAACTAATTGTATTTTTTTTTCCTCATTTTTAGACAAGGTTTCATCTTTATCCAGTAATATGAAAAGAGTGCCTCTTTAGTTTTTAAATTGTTATTTTCAACAAAAAAAAGTGAAAAAATATTCTTTCAGAAAAAACTTTAAAACACTGTAACAGTTCATGGAAAGTTCATTATGAAGTCAATAAAAATCAGACAAATGAACTTCTCCTGGCAAAGCCAACTGAATCTTTCCTATATGTTGAATAGGAGGAGGATCCATCCCTTACTAGTTTGAAGAAAGTAGTGTCACAATTTTCAAGTTCAATACATGAACAACTCATCCAAAATACACAGAATATGTTCAGCCAAACTAATTCAAAGTGAGGTATTTCACCACAGGACATTTTTTCCCCCAGTATGATTCACCCAGCACAGCCAACTGAACAATTCTGTTAACGCGTGAGCTGAATGACCAGTTTGATTGTTCTGGCACTTCTGAATGAGTTTGTAATTTTTTCTTATCACTCACCCAGTTGTTCTAGTGAGTACCATGTACCTGTTTGTACATTCCAGAATGAAAAATTACAACTGTGGATTTTAAAGCTTATTAACAAACATGCACTGAAGGTGACTAGAACTTTGAGTCTATATTAAAACACTGTTAAAAGAACCAAATTACTCTATGCAAACCTTTAATTCCTCCTGAATTTTTTCTTCCTCCAATTTGGCTGCTTTCCGATCCTCTGTTTCTATTTTCCATTTTTCTGCCACTATTCGGGCTTTTTCTTGAGCCATAGCATCCCGGAATTTCTTTGTAATTTCAGCTTCCTTTTGTCTCCTTCAGAAAAGATGTGAAAATAAACAAAAATTAAGCCACTAATATTTATTTTTTTTTAAATTGAAGATCAATCCTTACTTACTAGTTGCAAAAAATAATTAGCATAAGACTTCATGGAATTATGCAAGGAAAGAAAATATATTTAACAGGAGACCTACCACAAATCAGATTTGAGGAAACTATCCAGAAAGCAGACAATTTACAATTTTTGATAGATGACTAATTAAAATAAAACATTCTAAATTAGACAAGTACTTCTTGGATGTCTTTGAGCCATACCTTATTTTTTTCTGTCCCTGGTTGCAAAAATAGATTTTTCTGTCACTTTTTTCCAGCAAAGCACAATCAGGAATTTATTGTTTTTCAAATATCAATGCAAATTTCTGACAAATTCTTATGCTAGATCGTTTATTAGTACTGACAATGTAAAAGGAATGCAGAGATCAGGTTGAGGCCTTTAATCCTTGCTTAAATAGGCAATTACTATAAGCAAAGAAGAGTCTCATAAAAAAAGGGATAATATAGAATAATCTGATATTTAACTGTCAATTTTCAGTGCTGCACTAAAGGAAGTGTATGAGACAGGTGGCCTACTTCTTAACAATATCAAGCATCAAAACATTTTTGAATCTCTCCCAAACCTGGGAAAGGCCCTGCTGGAAACAGCAGCACGGCACTTAGTATAATCAGTTTCTGAACTGCCAGAATAAGAATTAATGCAAGCAAAATGCAAATAAAACCAGTTTTGAAAAGGATTTTATGTACCAAATCCCCATTGTGGGCTCAGATTTGTAATACAACAAACATATTAAATTTAATCATCTCAGAATTGTTTTGTTTTTCTTTATTTACAAATTTGTCAATGGTTTAGCAAAATTCCCCAAAAGGAAAACATTTGCTCCATCTTTTTTTTTTTTTTGTAAAAGAGGGTTTTTGGTTTTCAATATTCAAGAGAAACAAAATTACGTTTTTTACATGCTGAAAAATTGCCAAAGCAAGTCAAAGCCAATGTTCACAAAACATACGTACCAGTTCCACCCACCGTTACCTGCAACCTTTCTACAAGGTCACGTCTCCCGTTATGCCAAGCGGACCCTGAATTCAGTTTCATAAATCCTCACCATAGTTCTTCCGCCTCCCTCTGTGCCTGCTGCCTGGCTCTCTCTGCTATGAGCTCCTCGGATATCTGCTCGTAGGGCTTGTCACCTGGGCCTTCTCCCATCACCCACACCCAGACCTCGCCATCCTTCCCACGCAGCCACTGCACGTGTTTGCCGTTACCTGAAATAGCCACCGAGAACAACCCAAAATATAAAGACTGGTTCAAATTCTCACACAGATGTAGGTGAAAAGATGGCAAATCAACTGTTTAGAAACAACAGAGCTTGCGATTTACAAGTCAGAATAAAACGTTACTTAGAGGTTGGAAGAAATCTTCTGATTTGACCAATCTACCACGCTGGGGTTTGTATGCTGTAGATCACACGATCTTTAAACACTCACTGTCCCACAAAAATAAAAGTTGTTAATTCTGGCATACATTTCCCAGCATTTCGGTGTAATGATCCCTACTTAATTGTCATCTTTTCTTTCTTCACTCAGCAAGGGATGAATGAAGAGCATGGAAAAAGAGATGGGGCAAAAACAAGAACCAGTGACATAATGTGCAATCCTTTATGCACAGAAAATGTTGAGTGTTGAGCATAGAGAGACTTCACCAGAACACCTTCAAAAAAATCCAGGAATTTCCTGATGCCACTGTGTGAAGGAAGAGTTTCAGGGAGCCTGAATACTCAGAGCACACCACTCAACACTGCAAAGCCTATTCTGTTCACGTAGGCAATCGAAAGGGATTAAGTTTCTGGTTCAGCTTTCAAGAAACACACCATGCAAAAATCTACAGTTACTGTGTTGACAGAGTGATGCTGAGAACATCAAAAAAGCCTGACAGCTCTTTACAAAACAGACTACACTTGGTGAATCTTCATGTCCAAGAACAAACTACAGGACTGCAAAGGGCACTAGATTAGATCCTATCTGAATACATTCATATACAGTCATATACACTACCTGACTCAGCATAGTTTGGTCTTTTCCTTCTGCTTTTATGCATATAACTCTCAAATATGAAAAGCATTTTAGAGGTTCATAACAAGGAATTTGTAGAAACATCTCTTACACATCCATTTTTATGTTTTATTTCTTGCAAATTTGTTGACACTGTCCTTCAACAAAAAAAGAGGATTACACCACAAAGACTGCTGCCATGATGGACAATGGATTTATTTTAAACAATGCAGACTACAAGGCCATAAATACTCAGCAGTTCATATCACTCCCTGTATGTTACAGTCCTCTAGATTTCACCCTCTCACCCAAATATTGAGGTTAGAAAACTGTGGCATCTTGCCTCATTTGAAAATGTGAAGAAATGGACAGGGCACCATTTTTCCAAGTAGTTTTTCCCTGGTGTTCCCATAAGAGTTAAAAGAAACCTGGTCCTATTTAAATGGCCAGGCTCTGCTGCTGCTTTTTCCACATCTTTCTCTACAATCACCAGCTTAGCTACTCTCATCCTCGACTTCTCTTATTCTGTAATAGGACAGTATCTATTTAACTGGATTAAGTTTCCCAAAGCACAATCAATAAAGTGTTTCTGACATCCCAGACTGCAGACAGACAAGTGCAGGAGGAAGGGAAGTGGGGCTGTTGACAGCAGGCAGTGCCCCCGCCAGCCCACACTCACAAGTGTTGACAATAGGAACTGAAGGCAGGGAACGTATCCAATCTCACAATGAAAGCTAATATTCTATATCAAATTGGAAAATGTAATTTATACGAATTCCCAGCGTTGGCCTAACAGTACCGACTTCAAGGGGGGCTGGAAATTTAAGCTAATAATGTTTTCCTTCAACAACTCTCAAAAGCATTTGCTCTTTCCCAGTCTATCAGATTATGTCTCAGGTTATAAATGTGAATGTGTTCTATTGCCGTTCTTATTCTGTACATTTCTGTGTTCCTGTCAACCCGACATTTATGTTGCATTTTTTGGATACAGCATTTGAATACCATCTGCTGAGACCTGACTGGTCATATCAGTATTTGCCTGAAAGGTTTTCACCTACTGCATTTCATGGTAAAGCATCTTAAGAAGTATGGAATGATTTCCCAAGAGTACCAGTCCCACATAACCAATGACAGCTTTTGTTTTAAAAGTGTTCCATGTCTTCTTTCCTATAAGGAATCTGAATATGCTAGTTGCTCTCCTTTATACGGTACTTCAAAAAAAAAATTGGAAAAAACATGCCTCATGGTAATTCATCTGTACCATAACTGGTAGATACCAAATACTTTTAGTGTTTTCACACAACTTCACTACTTCTGTTCATTTATGACCTTTTCAGATGGAAAGAGAATAAATTAAAAACAAACAAACAAACAAAAATACCAAGCCCCAAACCCACCTTTTCAGGTAAGCAGAAAAATTTTATCTTTACTTCTTTCCAGGTTTCCTGTGCCAAAGAGTTATTAATGTGTTTCTCAGAGACAAAACTTACCCGCTGCAACCCAGCCCCATAAAACAAACAGCTGATTTGTAGACGTCTCGAGAAACTGTTCTCTTTCTTCTTTTAAAACAATGGATCTCTCTTCTAAAGTTATAGACAGTAGATGTATAAACTCTTTTGAAACTACCAGGATAACATATTGTTGGTTCAGCACACCCCAGCACAGTACACTGCTGTGTACACACCCACAGTTCAAGCTGAAAGATCACAGCAGCATCAATCAATCTGGACATTTTAAGCTTTAGCATTAAACAGACAGATCTCCATATATACAATTTTAAAACAGTTCAACTTGAGCACAAATGCCTTTATTCAGGGTTTCCTCTAGAAGAAAAGGCCTTTTCACATCCAACCACCTATTTTACTTTAAGAAATGAGTCCCATGTAAAGCTTCCCTTAGACCTATGCTCCCATAAAGCTGGAGATGGGCTTTACTGTACATTTTGATCATAAAACTTTATGGTTTAGTTTCTTAGCACATAATAACATAAAAAATGAGCGAGCAGAAAAAGAAATAAGCGCCTCAGGGAGAAAATCTGGCAATGTGAAAACAGAATTTCTGCCACACAAAAAGTCTTTGCAGCCTCCAGAATCACATTCACAGGGAGAGTGTCAGCTCTGCCAGGCTAATGATACTGGTCTTGCACTTTTAAATTCCAGAATCAATGGCAAGATTTGATATGAAAGTACAGAAAATTATTTTCCCTAATACCTCTAGGAAACTAGTGTTGTCTGCTTTGCAAGCAGAGAATTACCACTATTGAGGGTCAATTCAAACAAAATAATTTCTGCTTTAAAATGCCTCTCAAGTATTAATTTTTTCTGCAAGATAAGATGTTTTGTTAATACACTTTATTTCCAAGTGAAACAGAAAAACAAAATAAAGATTCAACTAAATATAACAGGAAGAGACAGGTCCTGACAAAAAAAAATTCAAATCTCAGTGAGAAAGAGGCAAGAGAACCTCATGTTTCGTTTTTAGAAGCAGGCTTCTGAGCCCAGTCAAAAACACTAATACAGAGTCAGGAAATATAAATTAAATCTCTTGAGCCTCAGTCTTGTGCCTTGACCACAAAAGTACTTTTTTCTTCCTGGAGAGACTATAACATGTGGCAAATAATTACCACTAGGAAGTAGTGGACATCAAAATTAGTCTGGATTGGAGAGTAAAAATGGAAGTGTTTTAGAAACAAACATTTCTTCATCAGGAAAATTTACTGAATAATTTACCAGGTCTTCTCCATCCCTAATCTTCAGATCAATGATTATCAGCTTTAATATTCCATCATTTTTAAACAACTCTGTAGCACCATGAGAAGACAGCATTAACTCTTGCAGTTCTTTTAACCTTTTTGGTGCATCCATGAATTAGTATCTCACATGGAGTTCCTCTAAATCTACATCTATACTGTTTTGAGACGAGTAAATTGGTTTCTGGATAATATTCCTTACTCCAAAGAGATGCCAGATCAGACAAATGCAAAATCAGGTCTCTTAAATTTGCAGTGCAAGGGGATCACAGTGAAAACTTTCTAGGAGACCTAAAACATGAACCAACAGCAACTCAAGAGTGCACATATAAACACACACAACCAAAAATAAGACCAAATCGTGTTTTCTATTCTGTAATAGCAATGAAAGTGTAAAACAATGCCCTGGAGAGCCATAGGAAACTCAAGCTCTCACCCACAAGAATTACGAGCTTCTACCAGCAGCACCACTGATCTCACACCCACCCAGAGTGCTGGAGTGTTACCATGGGCTGTGCTGCAGGACACCACAGGCTGCTCCTGGCCTTTGTGTCACCCTGGTGTCAGCAGGGTATCGATACTACCACGGCTGAACTCTGCCAGGGAATATGGACACTGCCTAGTGGGAGAGAGAGGAGGACAGCAGCTGATGGCACAGGGATGGGGAATCCTGGTTGCATGCAGTGATCAGGCTGCATCGGCCTTCACTTCCAATCAGCTCCACGCTGGGACTAGGGCTTTAAACAAATAGTTACACAAAGGAGAACTGAACCTCATACTGTCTCAGCTAATTGGAACAGAGGAGTTGAACCTCTGGTTGAGGAGTTTTATGGGTGATGGTTTTCAATGTGTTTTCTGTGGTTTTGAGTTATATCTGCCTTCATTTTCTCACGGTTTCAATTAAAAGTGCTTTAAAAATAATGATAATTAGAGCAAACGATATACTACTGGAGTCAGCTTCCTTCCTCCAAGCTTGTTCGCCATTGCTTTAACAGTTACAGCATCCCCAACAATTCCCATTTGTGATCCATAAACAGTGTTTACAAGGGAACTACTCCAAGGACCATTAGAGGCCTGATCTGGTGTCAAGATTGCCAACTGTGCTGTCACTCAGCCACAATCTGCCTGCTTAGTCCAGCAAAGATAGAGAGCGCCAAGTGCCCTACTGCCTTTCTGTCACAGGGAATACTACAGAAAATTAGATCACTTATTTATAGTCTCAGAAACACGGGACAGCATTCAAAGTCTGCTAAAATTTTTTCAAAAGAGTTTACTATTTCCATGAACAAACTTATTTCTCTGAGGTTGGGCTTCCCACCATAGTTCTTGTGCTTGGCAGCTACAGATCTCTGCAGCAACAATTGACTTTCCTTCCTCTCCTACTGGAAAGCTTTCTAGTCATACAAATATCGTTTGACTTGCTTTAGAAAACAGAGAGTCTTGTTTTGTCTTTTCTCTCTCTGTG